TTTTTTTTTTTATTTATTTATTGTAGAGATGAGGTCTTGCTGCCCAGGCGGGTCTCGAACTCGCGGGCTCATGCAATCCACTCACCTCAGCCTCCCAAAGGCGAAGGATTACAGGCTGAGCCACGGAGCCCGGCATATTACTGCTTTTTAATCATAAGCACAGGAAAAAAAAACTTGGAAAACTGCCAGAAAAAATTAAAAACCTTGGAAAATCATAAATGCCTGCTGAGCAAAGGAGAACTACACTGATTCTAATGTGTACCTCTCAAGGAAGAATTATCTTCCTCTTCCTAGAAGTGCTACATTAAAATATAAAGCAATGAGTCCTACACACTAAATAAAAAGGTTTAGATACCAGAAACAGGTCTTACTAGCCTGGTGGTCTTCTCAGTGAAAAGCTCTACTTTATGCTGATCAGTTGCAGGATTACTTTTATAAAGAAATGTAATAGTAATATTAAAAAGCTGATTGTGGAAATGTCTTTGTAAAGTTCTAAAAGAAATTAGTTTCAATGTTATCTTTAAGTAATCTCTTCAATAAACCCAAATACTTAGTTTTACACTAGAAACCGGAATCTGAACCCAGGAAGTCTGACATCAGATCCCCTACTCTTAGCTGCTATGCTGGTACTGACTCTGTAGAGGGCCTTTAATGCTTTTTTTTTTTTATAACACATATTTTTTATTTTAAAATTGTGGGATACGGTTAAGGGTTAGGTATACAAATATGCATTGTGCAGGTACCCTTGTTGATGAGGTGTGGCCCTCCCCCCATCCCCAGACAGATATTGACTACCATTGATCCCATCTCCCTTCCCCCGCCCTGCCCCCCCATAGTTTCCCACCACTGTCAATCCTTTTCTTATAGTATTATGATAGTTGTTCAAGGTCCACTTATGAGTGAGAACATGTGATACTCAGATCTTTGTTTCTGTGAGAGATCAGAATTATAAACTCTAATTCCATCCAGGTTGCTGTGAAATTCATGATTTTGTTTTTATGGTTGCATAATATTCCATTGTGCATATGTACCACATTTTTTTAATCCAGTCCTCTTTTGAATGACAGCATGGTTGGTTCCATGATCGTGCTATTGTGAACAATGCTGTGATAGACATACATGTGCAGCAGGTATCTTTTTTATAGAGTGATTTGAGTTCTTCAGGGTATATTCCCAGTAGGGGGATTGTGGGGTCATATGGAAGGTCGGTTTTTGGAGCTTTTAGGAATCGCCACACTGATTTCCACAGAGGCTGCACTAGTTTACAGTCCCACCAACAGTGTAGAAGTGTTCCCTTTCCACCACATCCTCTCCAGCATCTGTTATTTTTTGAGTTATTGATAATAGCCATTCTGACTGGAGTTAGGTGGTATCTTGGTATAGTTTTAATTTGCATTTCCTAAAGATGCTCTAAGATTGACTGAGTATAGAATTAGGGTATTATAATTGTACACAGAGAAATTATCCTCTTTGCTTTTAATCTATAAAGATTATTTCTTATTAGAGATTAATCTCACAAGTTGTTATTAGTTATTTAATATTAGCTTCAGCTATTCTTATTCATGATTCTGTCCTGAACAATGAACTTACAGAGATAGACACTACATAATTTTAATACACATTCACATGGGACCAAGAAATAAAATTTATTTGCTCAACTATTCTACAAGGAAACTTGATTTTCTTAAACCTAGTAGGGATCATGTCTGCTTTGCCAAAACATGATACACTAAGCATGTATCCAGTAAATAAGAGGTACCTAATAATTATTTATTGAATTAATGAATAATTTTTAAATTTCTTACACACTAGTAATGTGAAGCTTTAAAAAATTAAGTTTGTCCTTCATTTCTATCATTCTATACTTTACTATTCATCTATTTTAATAAACCACGTGTTGTCTATTTTCTCTGCTCTCTGAATATTCTTTAGTTAAAATTCAAAACCAAGGACTTTTCACTTAGCCGGGAGAAACAAGATTAAAATACTTTTTTTTAAATTGGCAGAGTATCTTTAAAAAAAAGCTTTTAAAGTTTTTTTTCTCGACCTAATTTAGAAATTATCTTTAATTATAAATAAAAAAATGTAAGGTTTAAAAATATGATATAAACTAAGAATTAAATACAATATTCTGTGATATACTATGACCTCTGATATGCTACATAGGTGATATATTTTTCAATAAAATTTTTCTATGTAAAAAAATAGATCTTTTAAACCAAGTCATTAGGTTTTTTTTTTTCCTTCCATTTAACTTTGGGAGTAATACATAAACACAAAAACTTAAATTTACCTGTCCAATTGCTACTTGCTTTTTTGCCTGCACCAAAGGGAAGATGATCCTGAAAAAAAGACCAAATGGTTTACAAATGGGACATACTTTCACAACAATGGTAATCCACAAACACATTCTCAACAGAGACCTTTTTTTTTCCACCATCACTTCACCCTGCCCTTAATCTAATTACCTTGATACCTATTTTGCCACAGGGCCTGGTACTTGGTCAAAAGTCTTTGCTAGAATAACATTACTATGAAGAACTTTTAAAAAAAAATTTTTCTTATTTTAAAGATGTAGGTTCAGGATTAGGTATACAAATGTTCATTATGCAGGTACCCTTGTTGATGAGGTGTCTTTTTTTTTTTCCTTTTAAAAATAAGTTAAAGAAAGTTTTCAGGTGTAATTTTGAGGTACGTGAATTAATCAACTGTGGAGAGTGAAGAAAACAGGAGAGGGGATAGGGAAGACGATCTATCTGGCTAAAGCTGTAGGTCAAATTTGTAATACGGAGAGAAAAAAGGAGCAAAGAGATAAGGACTGAAGGACTACTTTTAGGATGACTGACTAGAAAGGATGTGGTGAGAAAATGACTAGTCTTATGAATGATACTGAAGTTAACAGATACACAGTTAATATGCATGCATATAAATTTACACACTGTAAGCCATCTGTCATTTGTCTGATAGATGTGCTTCATTTAGGCTACAGAACAGATATATTTAGGTTCTAGAACTGATTCTGTGAGAGAAATGGGGTGATAGAGGAGAGAAGGATACCAAAAAACAAAATACCTCTCACCATCCCACAAAAAACCCTAAACAAAAACAAAAAATCAATTTCATATTGCCAGTGGGAGTTACATAATTTTCCAGAAAACTAATTAACATCAATATTCTTTGAAGAAAGGTTCTTTCTGTGCAATGGCACAAGTCAAGCCAATCAGGTAAAAATCATTCAAGTTGTCTTAATTCAATAAAAGCATCCACCCCCCAAAAGTCTAATCTGTTGTTCCTTTTACTTATTGACACTAAACGTCATTCATGTTAAGAAATCTATATGTTGTATATTTATTCATTCTTTCCTTCTTGCCACAAATCTCAACAGTTTTCTATATAACTCTACTTATGTTCTGTTACCATTCTCTCAGACCCCTTCAACTCTGATCTACTTCTTCATCTCCAATGTGTCTCACTCCACTGGCCCTTAACAATATAGACAGGTCTCCCCAAGATCTATGGACTGCAGTGCAATAACTGGCCCTGCTGACCACTACTTAGTTGTTGAAATCCTCTCCTCCATGCTAATCTCAGAGTTCTTCCCTTTTACTCTGTATCCTTCCATCTCCTTTTCCTTTTCATTACATACTCTCTACTCCTAAGACTCAGTCCCTAAATTACAACTACATTTTCTGGGTTGAAGAATCTAATCTGCATCTCTCTAACCAATCTTTCTCATGCACTAGTGCCCAAATTAAGATTTCTTGGTGGTCTCTTCCACCAAGATATATCACCAGCTATTAAAACTCAATACATCTAAAATTAAGCTTATATCTTTCACCTTAAAACCAATTTCTTCATTTCTTTGCCTCCCTTTTCCAGACCCATGCCTGTCTTGCCCAATCTACATCTGAAATGTCTCAAAGTTATCTTTTATTTGAATTCCCACTACCATCATCCTAATTATATTTAAGAAATTAAAACTTAGCCTTTTCTTTTTTCTAGTATGTGTCATGACGCTCAAACCTGCATGGACACCTAGGGTTTTAACCCACTTAACTTTCTGCTCAATGGATCTCTATAAACAATTCATCTTCAGGTCTAATATAGCCTATGTGGAATTGTTAGTCATTTTAACTTAATTTTATAAAAATTGTGATTAAAAAACACATAACAAAATGTGCTATCTTAAGCATGTGTAAATGTATATTTCAGTACTGTTAAGTAAATTCTGTTAGTCATTCAGCAAGGTGTAGAAAGCAAATCCTCTTCACCATTAAGGTCAGTAGCTGAGAACGAACAAGTCATTGAACAATGTAGTTAATTTTATAATGTTCTTCAAGGATAATGCCATTACACTTTCACAAAATTGAAACTATGAAGGATCACTGACAAAAAAGATAAATACGATGAATAAAGTTCTATATATACTTCAGTCACATTATGCCTGGGTACAAAGCATTATCTCTTTTCCTTCATAAAAATTCACGACTTGCCCACATATGAATTTCTAATCCCTCTGGGGAAAAATACGCCATCTATGAACCTTCATCTGGCTCTATAAATGAACTTTAATTTGGTCCCACACTACTCTTCTGATCTCACTTCCTATTATCCTAATTTAGTCAAACCCAGTTATGTATAGTTCTAGGATGGCCTGGGTTTTTCTATCGCGTGGCTTTACTCAATCCCAAGATACAAGGGCTTTAGAGCAGGTCTGGAGCCAGATTCTCCAGGTTCAAATTCTGGCTTCACCACTAGTAACTGCGTGACTTCGGGCAAGCTATTTAATCCCTCTATGTCTACCTTGCTCATCTGCAAAATGAGAATACTATCAGTTTGATGGGATTGCTCCGGGAACTACATGAATTCACGTAGTGCTCAAAACACAGCTTGCTGTGACATGCACTCACGTGTGAGCTATAGCTTTCCCCCAATCCTGAAAGTCCGCCTTCATATGCCACCTCCCTGACGTCTCCAACAAAAATGAGCTCCAGCACTCTACAGCGCTCCGAGACTATTTTACAACCCAAACAGCTTTCACCAAACCCCCAAAATGCATGTTCCCCCGGGGGCGCGTTCCTGACCCGTGCCCCTGAGTGACCACTCATGCCTGGAAGTGAACGCAGCCCAGGGCTCCAGGCCGGTCCACGCCCCACTCAACCAAGCGCCTGGGGGCGTTATTAAAGCGTGGAGACCCGTTTCCTCAATAAAACGGGTACACATCTACCTCACAACCACTTCGCTCGGTGGCTGTGGGGCTAGGGGTCTTTGTAAAATAAAAAAAAAACCCTGCATAAATGTAGCGGGCGCTTGGTAAACGGGAGCTTCTCCAGGGACGCAGCAAGCCCGAGGGCCCCGGGTGACACATCGTTGGGAGCTCAGGGAATAAAAGGGATTTCGGACTAGGCGCGCGTCACGGTACAAAGTTCTCGGCCTCCTGCCACGGCTGGGCGGCGCTCGGGCCCGGGGCGCAGTCCCCGCGCTGGTGCCAGCGGACACCTGCACCGCAGTCCTCGGCGTCCGTCCTGACCAGGCCCTGCAGTGCCGCCGCAGGAGCCACAGATGCAGGCGGGCCGAGGGCACGCTTGTCTCTGCCTGGACCCAGTCTTACCTCGGGCGGCTGCCGCGGAGTAGACAAAAGGAACAGTCGGAAGGGAAAGGCGGGGACTCAACATGGCCGCCGGGGCCTCGCCTCGGCCCTGCCCACACGAGGCCCCGCCCTCCCCCACGTGCGCCCCTACTCTTGCTCCTAATTCCGCCGCCCCGCCCACCTCTGGCCCCGCCCTCCTCCAGTCCCACTCCCCCCTTCCTCCAGTCCCACCCCCCCCTCCGCCGGCCCCGCCTCCTCCATCTTATTGCACTTCCCGGCAGCCTTAGCGTGGGTGGCTTTTCCGGTTCTGCTCTCCGCATGGATTTTCGCTCTATGCCGATGTGTCAAGACCAGCGAAGAGCGAAGCTTGAAGTTAGACCCCATCACCTGATCTGGGAGCAGCCGACTGTGCGCGCTCGTAAACTTCCCAGAGAAGGGAGAAAGAGCCCGAGGCATTAATAAACCTGAGGTCTGACTTCAGCTTACTCCTGGAAAGGGTTTCCTTGTAACTTTACAATTATTTAGAAAACAGCGCACAATTACAAGTTGCCCCTCCCCCGCCCTCATTTTTTCCACTTCACCCACCCAGTAGCTGGAGTTAACAAGAATCGTTTGGAATCTCCAGTAGCCCACATACAGTAGGAGCTCCTTTAAATGTCCTATGTTCTCCCTTCTTCCTCAGTAAAAGTTGAATTGTGTAAGAGTTGCTGGTTGATCATTTACTACAAATCTTCCTTTAACTTTTTGCTTCTCTGATTTAACCGAACAGTGAGTGTAATTTGCCTGTTGAGAAAATTAAATGTGATTACAAAAGAGTGAAAATTTTTTCACCAATGGTTAGACTAACAGATTGTAAATACACAGTCGGATAGTTGGGGCTAGCTTTATGAGCATGCAACCTGTGCACTTATACAGGACCTTCTCTAGGAAGGACTCTGCACTTGATTTTGTTCTCTCAATAAATGTTGAACTCGGGGCCCTCACTTTCCTTTTGCACGGGGCCCTGCAAAGTGTAATGCAGGTCTTGCTGAAAGAAATGGTGGGTGAAATGACCTCTACGGGAACTGTATGGATGAGCGGACACACAGGAGAGCTGCCGAATCTTTTGTGTGGCTCAGGACCATTTTGCCATAATGACCTTTAGACTGAACTAACCTGTGACCTATGAACCAATTGGGACTCAGATTGAAAATAATGTTTAATCAAAATGATGTTTTTATTCTGAGAAAGCATTGAAGTGAATTTATTACTTTGTTTTTATTTTTTAAAATATAAATCACTGAAAAGGGAATTTTCTTCAGATTCAAAACTAAGAATAAAAGAATAACCAAGTTTGCTAGGCCTTTAGAACTGGTACATATTTGAACAAAGTTAAAGGGTGTTCAGCTAATAAATCAATTTCTTTGAGGCCCAAACTGGTCTAAGAATATTAAGCATGAATGGTTTTTGTGTTAAATACAGTGTGAGAATAATCAGAACCAAAATGTCTTTCATCCAGCATGATACAATTATAATAGATCCAAACATTTTCTATTTCCTTATTAGGTATATACATTGTTATTATTTGCATGTAAAAGCAAAGTAAGTTGAAATCGGAAATTTAGGTTGACATTCCTAATAATGAAACCAGTAATAAAAGTTAACTCCCTAAAGAAATAGTCCAAAGGTTTTCTATAGTGTGTGGCTGAGAAGATTTAGGACTCTTCTTCTGAACTAATGAGAAGTATATAATATGATCTTAGCGAGGCAATAAAGGAATGTAATGAAAGTGAGAAAAACTCATCTACTTAAAGCCTGTAAGAAAAGAGGTTGTCTTGATCAGCACTGACTGCTATAACAAAAATAAAATAGACTTGGTGACTTAACAGAAATTTACTCCCCACCATTATGAAGGTTGGAAAGTTTTAAGATCAAGGTGCCAGATCCTGGTGAGGGCCTTTGCTATAACCTCCCTTAGGTGAGAGAGACCTTGGTCCCTTCATCTTCTTATAAGGGCACTAGTCCCATTCATGAGGACTCCACCTTCATGACATAATTATCTCCCAAAACCCTACCTCCAAATAACATCACATTAAGGATTTAGGCTTCAACATAATAAATTTGGGGGGACACAAACATGTCCATGACAGAGTTAATTGTTAGAAAAGGCATCATACATGGAGAATAACATAATATCCATAGACATCAGACATGCTACTTGAGAAGTGACCTTTTGGCTTTTCCGCAGATTACATACATCAGGGTTTTTCGGCCCTGACACTATTGACATTTGGGGTCATATAGTTCTTTGTTGTGGTGGGCTATCTTGTGCACTTCAGGGTGTTAAGCAACATCCCTGTCCTCTGTTAGAAACCAGTAGCATCCCCAAGAAGCTTCAATACCCAAAATGTCTCTAGACATTATCAAATGTCTCCAGACACTGTCAAATATCCACTGAGAGTAGGGTGGGAGGAGGAAGGCAGGAAAATTGCTGCAGTTGAGAACCACTGGCCTAGGTAAACATTTCAAAACTCCCTTTATTCTGATTCTGTTCTCATCTAGTGACATTTCAGAAAAGAAAAGCCTTCATTATTTATTTATTTTTGAGTTCGAATATCACTCTGTCACCCAGACTGGAATGCAATGATATCAACATGACTCACCACAGTCTCAACCTCCAGGGCTCAGGCAGTCCTTCTGCCTCAGCCTTCCAAGTGGCTGAGACTATAGTGTGCACTACCACACCTGACTCATTTTTTGATTTTTTGTAGAGATGGGGGTCTTCCTATGTTTTCCAGGTTGGTCTTGAACTTCTGGGCTCAAGCAATTCTCCTGCCTCGGGCTCTCAAAGTACTGGAATTACAGACATGAGCCATCACACCCAGCCTCTAGCCTCTACTATTTAATAAATCAGAATTTAGGTTAATAATGCATTAGTATCTGGTACATCTAGTTGGGATGATATATGTCCCAGGAAGTTTAGCACCTCTGAATGTGATATTTATATAAAGTTGAATTTCTGAATGCTTGCTTACTCCAAGGATCAGACTTTGGCTCATGGGAACTTATGGCTCTATGCCAGTGTTTCATTTTGGCTGTGTTATCTTAATTCTAACTACAGAGTGCAATATACTAAGTACAGATAAACCTTAGCGAGATTCTCTAAATCTCACACCCATACTGGCAAATACCCAAATTTCACACATTCATCTCCATTTTATTTTCCATTTATTAAATTTGCTTAAAGCCGAAGTCCTGCATTTCTTTTCCATCATGCATTTATAGTATCTGTTGTTCCTCACCTGTCTCAAAAACATCAAAAGTTACTATGTAACTGGCACAGAGCTGGGCCTTTGTATTAGCCATTATCATTATTCTTTTTGTTAGCATTAGAACTAAGACTATAGATTTCTTGCTATTCAGAGTGTATTCCATTTTTTCTCATCTTTTGCTCTATAATAGTACTCTTTTAATTTCTTAATTCCTTACATATTTGTTGATCCTAAGCTTGTCAGTTTATTCATAATTTGCAAAGTCCTATTGATAGCTTGTTAGAATCAAAATGGACTCTGGGCACTTGTTAATCATTGGCACACAGGAAAACTGACAAAAGGCCAGTTCACTAACAGTTTTCGTGAAAACTAATTAATTTGTTAATTAATATCTCATGACAGAGATCGGTTTGTTTGAAAAATTCTCAAGCTGAGGTATGTGCACTAGCCACAACCCAAGTGCTCAGTCATCACATGTGGCCTTGGATGACACAAGTGTAAATATTTCCAACATCACAGGAAGTTCTTTTAGCTGGGGTAGAACAATACATATAGTATTTTTTTCTTCACATAGCTTATAAATCCAACAGATATTTGTGTGAAAATTTCAGGTAAACAGATTTTTATTTTATTTTTTTAGAAAGCAGGATTTATTGAGAGGAGAGAAAAGCTCCCACAGCGAGAGGGGAACTGAAGAGGTTTTCCAGATTAATTTTTCATGATCCAGTTCTATCTTTATAGGTGGGCGATGTCTTTTCTGAAGGAGGTGATCATTTATGTTGTTAGTCACAGGAAGAATATGTAAATCCACCGCAAGACAAGAAGTCATAATTGGTTTTATGTAGCTAGAAAAGAGGAAAAAAGGCAGCACTCTCATACAGTAATTCAATTAATTACTGATATAGATGTGAGAATTACATCTTTATTTGGGTGCTGGTTTTTCGTTTGTTTTTTTTTTTTGAGTTGGACTCTTACTCTGTCTCCCAGACTGGAGTGCAGTGGCCGCTCCTGGACACTGTAGCCTCGACCTGCTGGGCTCTGGCAATCCTTCCGCCTCAGCCTTCCAAGTAGCCAGAACTACAGGCGTGCACTACCACCCCCAGCTAAGTTTTTGATTTATTGTAGAGATGAGGTCTCACCAAGTTGCCCAGGCGGGTCTGGTCTCGAACCCATGGGCTCAGGCAATCCACTCACCTCAGCCTCCCAAGATGCGGGATTACAGGTTGAGCCACCGAGCCCGGCTGGGTGCTGGTTTTATGGATGCACACATTTATCAAAACTTGTCATAATGAACTCTTCATATCTGTGTATTTTACTCTATTATATAAATTATACCTCAATTAAATACCTCTCTTCTAATTCCAGCTCTGTTAGCTAAAGGGTTGTGTTCTGGAATTTATTTCTTCTTTTTTTCTCCAGGCTTTACTGGTTGACTTTTTCTTTTTTTTTTTTTTTTTTGAGTTGGAGTCTCACTCTGTCGCCCAGACTGGAGTGCAGTGGCCGCTCCCGGCCACCACAGCTGCGACCTGCTGGGCTCCAGTGATCCTTCTGCCTCAGCCTTCCAAGTAACTGGAACTACAGGCACACGCTACCATGCCCGGCTAATTTTTGATTTATTGTAGAGATGAGGTCTCTCCAAGTTGCCCAGGCGGGTCTCGAACCCACGGGCTCAGGCAATCCACTCACCTCAGCCTCCTTCACCTTAGGCTTTTTTCTCTCTCTCTCCCTTTTCTTTTTTATTAAATTATTTTCCTCCTCCTTCTTTCTTATGTATTTATTTATTTGTGTTAAAATGTATGTGACATAAACCTTACTATGCTAACCATCTTTAAATGTACAGTTCAGTGCCACTAACTACATCCATGCTGTTGTGCACCAGT